TAGAAATTGTGTGACTACTGACTATGTATAATAATATTAATATAAATTGTATACTAAATATATATGTTTTTGTTTTTTATATAAATTATAATGATGATAACTATATACAAATTTAATAAAGTATTTGAATACGTACATTTGTTTTGTATTAGCATTTTACTCATACATAAAAACATAAGTATTACTACATTTTTTTCTCGTGATATTATTGTAGTTGGCAATTTTTCAAACTGATAACCCCCCAAATAGGGAAGCCTCGGAACGCCCCTGCGTGTTTTTGTATAACAGGATTAAAATTGGCATTTCAATAGCACTAAGAACATTTCCATTACTATTTTGATATAAAACATCATTAGAACCCCTGAATGCAATACAGTTTTTTGCCAAAAAATGGATTACTGCTAGTATTCGTGTAATAACATCATGCCAATGTTTATCCGCGTTTAGTTTAKTTAGATGAAGTTTATCTATAGTATTTACTTGTGATATTCTTTGTTTTAATTCAATCCAAGACTTTAAGGAAGTTAGAATCGTGGTTTCGTGAGATTTAAGTCTCTCCCCAATATGTCGCCAATCGTTTATACCGCCCTTGCTTAAATTACCAGTAGAATTAGAGTCAAAAAGTTTACAACAAAAACAGAAAGCTCTATCCTTATATTTTGAATATACTAGCCAGTTTCGTTTACTAACATCACCGTTRTCTAAACGTTTGTCATATAATGTTGGATTAAAACGTCTTAGCTCACCATTTATTTCAGATTGAGGAAAATTATAGCTTTTAACTTGTATTGGTCCAAGTTGTACAAAATCTTYTCTAAAATCATTATTTATTATTTCGGGCCAACAACCAATATCTGTCATATCGTAGTCATTTATTGTATTTTTAATAAAAGCATTACCGCTACTTTTACTTTCGGTTTGTAATTTATTAATTTCAACTTCGTTGTCTATTTCTATAATTAAAAATCAAATTCATGATTTTCATTTATTTTTTCAGAAACATCTACTTCTAAAGCTGGATGATTATCATTAATACTGCTTTGACTATACTCTGTCGATGCATTTTGAAGCGATTGGGTAGAATTTAAAGATGATGTAACGATTTTGTTTAAAGATCCACGTAGTTTATTTAAACTTTTTTCCCTTAAGTTTTTTTCTGCCTTTTTGCACTTCCTGACGGATAACTTCTAAACCTATCCCGATCTCTAGACGACATGATACAGAAATATACGAAGCGTAAATAATATAAATGCCTGTGRAAAAAATATTACCTATCAATCATGTTTTTAAAATTCAGATAAGAATGATTTTGATAAGTAATTCTAACATGGGAAAAAATTTGTATATAATCCATGGATAATTAAGATTGATAAAGATGGCAACATTTTGAATTCTACTAGGTGTATGTATTGTATACATTGAGAGTTACATATTGTATAAATGTAWATAAAAGTAAAAAAAAAAAATACTTTTAAAATTAATAAATATATCTTATTATTTCAATATTTGCTTATGATTTTTTTACATTATGCATATTTTAAGCGCATAATTAAAAAATGTTAGAGTATATTTTAATGCATATTTTTCCAATTTTTAGGGCATGAATTTACGAGCCCTGGTAATGTGTATTTGTACGTTATACCATGTGTGTCGCGTGTATCCAGAGGGGGTAACTCAATGCGGTAGATCTGATGCTAAGTTTGAGACCCGCGGCATACCAACATAACTAAACATCTAATATTCCCTTTCTATTGCGACACTATCTATGCGTACATGTATACGTCATCTAATAAATTTTTTGTTTTTTAAATGTACACGTTTGTGTTTGGCTGTTTTGTCAAGTGAAAAACACCGTCTGTGCAACACGCGATTTTTTTGACTTTTTTCTCTGATCCGTTCAATCATATTGTTTCGCTATTTGTGTGTTTTACAATTTTACATTGTTCCGTGATCGTTTGTTTATTTATTAGTAGTTTTTTTTTAAATAATAATAAGTAGATATGCCTTCCAACAATTGTGTCGTAATTGGATGTGATACAAAATACACCGATAAACACGTCATACGACATCATTTTCCTAAGGACGAGGAGACTTGTAGTGTATGGGTACAAAAGTCAGGAAACAATAATTTATTAAACAAATCGGCATTACAGATATTCAATTCTTACATAGTTTGTGAGAAACACTTTGACGCCAGCTGTAGCASCCCAGGTTTMAAAAAACTTATTCATGGTTCTATTCCTACTCTTAATCTTCCAGGTAAAACATTATTCTCATATTCTAATATTCCAAGTATTTAAATATTTTGTACAAGATTAATTTTTATTGTAATTCATATAGTGTTTAATGCTCAATGAATAACAGTAAAATAAGCATAGATGTTTTGGAACTTCCGGGTTATGTTGATTACCAAAATATTTTCAAGACTATCTAATATTTGATATATCATTAAAAAAAACT